CCCCCCCCCCCCACCCCCCACCTGTACCCACCCTCCCCTATTATTACAGAGCTTAAGCAAAGGCGTTTTTGAGTGATGCAGTTCAACTGGAAATGAGTCCTTTTCCCAAAAATATACCTTCTATTTGCCGAGTCATCTACCTGCTATAGAGACAATAATGTGCCTGAAAAATGCCGTGGGGGCGGGGAGACTCCGCATATGAAAGGGGTGGAGATGCTCGTCGGAAATTTTGAATTAAACCCCTAAAGGAGACCGATCTGGGCATGGCCCAAGCTTTTTTTGACCCCTAAAAGAGACCATGTTAAAACACAGACAATTATATATTTTTATATTTTTTTTGCGTGCAACCCTAAACGAGACCTTCACAGCTAAATGTGATGGCGTTTTGCCCAAAAAACCCTAAGTGAGACCAAAATCCAAAATTTACACCCCTAAAGCGAGACGACAAGCATTCCCACCCCTTTCATATGCGGAGTCTCCCCGCCCCCCGGGGAAAAATGTTGGCTAAACCACTGCCCAAGCATTCAAAAAGTCAACTTCCTGTTGATCAATAATTGATCTGTATCGTGCAAAAAGACATTTGTTTAAGCTTAAGTTTAAGCTTGACGTTGGGGCAGTGCACAGCTCCAGGATTGGCTTCTCAGGAGAAAACAATAAAAAACATCAGTAACAATACATGTACATCCTAACCAAAAATTATTAAGAGCTTCATGCTATCAAAGATCCAGTAAAGATTAGAGGTTTTTAAAGGGCTGCGTACTGTCTGTAGAGATAAGGGAAAGGTAGGGGAACTTTATTTTTAAGGCACTGGAAATTCCAGGGGAAAGGGAGGGGTATTGGTATCTTTGATCAATCAACAACAACGATCTCCCCGTCTCTGAAGGGGAAAAAGTGTCAGCACTGTTCTCTTTTTTTTTTCCTGAGGGATAGAATTACTTTAAGGGGTTCAAAAGATGAAATTGACCCAAAGGTACATGTAATTGTATGATAACAAAAAAGACAATGCCTTGAAGCAATATTTGATGTGAGGTGACCAATCAAGACCAAGCAAACCCTCTATTACAATTTCCATTTTAGAGCTCAAGTGGAAACCTCCCTTCTCAAACAGACATTTTTTTGGATTTAACCATGTCACATTCTTAAACCCCTAAAAACACCTAAAAACATCTGTCTATAAAGATGCTACCATGAAAACTTGCCATTGTGATACGTTTTACATTTCTGATAATACATTATTATAATAGTGCAGAGTCTACCGCAACTAACTGGTAGAAATATATTTTCAGGGCACTCGGTCATCAGTAGTTTCAAAGTCCATCATAGGAATGTTACATTTTGCCAGCTTTATACCATATGACTGGAGGGAAAAAATAAAAAACAATGGTGGAGGGTAAGTCATTGATAGTCTTTGTTTTATATTTGGATTTTAAAAGTAGGTTCTAACCTACTTCTAACCAGGAAAAGGGGAAACTTCCAGAATAATAAAAATGAGCTGTCCATTCTTCAGTCCTGCAGACAAGCTTCTTCTCGCATCTCCCATGCATGGCAATTGCACCTTGTTTTGCTTATAATTCACCACTCACATTTTCTCAAATGAAAAGCATGCTCACAGGCTTTTTTTGTGTAGTGTTGTAATAATGTAAGTTTCCTGGTGAACTAGGATCAATCAAGCCGCAATTCTTGATCTATGATCTTTGATCTTGTACATGTACTCTGGGAAATCTAGTAATTGTATCAGTAAAAGTGCATGATTCGTGTTGCTCATACATTGTCACTGAATGTCTGGAGTTAAGTAAGTATGACTAACTGCTGAAAAGTTTGTTAGCCATTGCATAACTTTTGTAGCAGCAGGGTTAGCTCAGTCGTTGGAGCCAGGAGGGCTTGACTGCAGAGTGGGAAGTCACGGGCTTGATTGCCAGGGCCGGACTAACTCTCGGGGTTTTATAATAACTGAGGAACAAAATTACTGTCTTTGCCCTGCGAACGGCTAGACCTCGTGTGGCTCAAAATGACCATGTAAAGTGGTTCTTGTCTTCAGTATGGGACTTACTGCAAATGACCTAATAGATGCCCACTTTTAAATAAATGCCTCTTATCTAACAAACACCCCCTTTATGCTGTTATTGTATTAGATGCCCCTCTCTAATAAATGCCCCCTGTCTTATAGGTGCCCCCAATGACAATTACTCCAAAATACTACGAAATAACAGTTTTTTGTTTGATTAACAAGGCATTGCGTATTTCATCTTATTCAACGTGAAGTTCAAAGTAAGAATAGACAAACAATGGCAACACAATAACCCTGAGCTAGGATTCTGACATTGACGTTGGGATTTGAAAGAGTGATATTGATCTCTAGACAGCCAAGACATCTCAATTGATGGAGTGAATATTCCTCTATTTTAAAACTCTCTTGATGTTTTTGCTGAAAGCATATTTATTTAGTTTGTTGAGCTTGTTACAGTTATCAGAATCAATGTCTGTCTAGTAAACGCCCCTGCTTGAACCTACAAAATTAAATAGACACCTCAGGCATTTATTAGGTCATTTACAGTAATTATACACTTGTAATACCTGGTCAATACCTTTGGGCTAAAAAATTAATACATTGGCCCTCAAATATAATGCAATTTTTAACGGTAACAATCTTGCATGTTTCTGTGTCAGTTTGTGCTTATTTGTGTATTTATGAGCTTCAGCGACAAAACATTTGAAGTTGCCTTAGTGCTTTTCTTCTCCTGTATAAGCAGATTCCAGCTGCAAGTTAAGCAACAATACTAGTTACAGTAGGTTTGTTTGGGGTACAGGAAGACACAGTTCAGGAGGATAGCTTAACCATGGAGCTACTTACAAATCAATGATGTCATTTTTTGTGAGGTGTCCATTATTAGTGAGTTAACTGACTGTATATTATTTGTTTCTTTTAAGGTATGTTAATCATGCTTTATATTGGTCAATCATGTCTCCAAACCCAAATAATGAAGATAGAAGACCCTCTGGCAGATTGGCCCAGCTGATTGACGAGACGTTTGGCAGTTTCTCTAACTTTCAACAATCTTTTGAGAATAATGCTCTTAACATTTTTGGGTCAGGTTATACATGGCTATGCTTTGACAGAGAACATCAGGGCCTTAAAATCCTTGGCACATCAAATCAAGACAGCCCTTTTATGATGGAAGGGCGGTACCCAATCCTGGTGATTGATGTCTGGGAACATGCCTATTATCTGAAACACCAAAATCGCAGAGCACAGTATGTGCAGGGATTTTGGAAGGTCATAAACTGGGATGCTGTGAGCCAACTGCTGGAATTTTGGCCACAACAAGCTAGGCATGATGAGCTGTGAATGTCGCTGTGCTGGTTAATGTTTTATTCAGAAACCAGCAGCCATGCTTTGAACTGTTTTGATGATAGTCCTAAAATGTAAAAGCTATGTTAACAGTGCCCTACGTGGCGAACATTAAAAGGAGGGGGGGGGGAGAAAAAATGGAGGGGAAACCTTTGGTGGCCAGGTTCCTGTCTCTCCTAATTCCGGAAACTAGCGGGCCTGGAACGCTTTTATACATTTATGATCGAGATGTTATTAGTTTTGTAGATAATCTGATAAAACTATAAGTTTACAAAACAAAATGGACTATTTTCATAGCTAGGTCCCGCGCTTTAATTCGTTAGATTTTGACGTACATATATGACTTCAAGCCCCAAAAGTCACAGGTACGTTTGAGAAATGGATTCCTTGGGTCAATTGAATGGATCTCTTGTTCTCTGACCGTATCNGGCATGATGAGCTGTGAATGTCGCTGTGCTGGTTAATGTTTTATTCAGAAACCAGCAGCCATGCTTTGAACTGTTTTGATGATAGTCCTAAAATGTAAAAGCTATGTTAACAGTGCCCTACGTGGCGAACATTAAAAGGGGGGGGGGGGGGAGAAAAAATGGAGGGGAAACCTTTGGTGGCCAGGTTCCTGTCTCTCCTAATTCCGGAAACTAGCGGGCCTGGAACGCTTTTATACATTTATGATCGAGATTTTAATAGTTTTGTAGATAATATGATAAAACTATAAGTTTACAAAACAAAATGGACTATTTTAATAGCTAGGTCCCGCGCTTTAATTCGTTAGATTTTGACTTACATATATGACTTCAAGCCCCAAAAGTTACAGGTACGTTTGAGAAATGGATTCCTTGGGTCAATTGAATGGATCTCTTGTTCTCTGACCGTATCAGCGCTTTGAAAAAAAAAATTGTGTGAATACATTCCTATATTTGTAACCGCAGTTTGCGCTTTATTACAATCGATTAGTAAGTGTAATTTACGAGTTTAGCTGTTGTTTTCAAGCTCTAAAACAATGGCTACACTTGCAAGTCACACATATGAAATACAAAAGTGCTTTTAGACCCTGTTTACATGGAGTGGGGGACCCCGGTCTAGTGGAGTAGGTTTCTTTTGTTTTGTGTTCCCCAGAGCGTGAAAACAAAAGAAACCAACCCCACAAGACCGGGGTGCCCCACTCCATGTAAACAGGCCCTTAAAGCTCACACAGTCTTGCAGCGTTTTATAAAACACGTTCTTGAATTGTGGAAGGAATCCGTGCAAGGTCCCTGGAGATGAAAGTCTCGTTCTGAAAAGAAAAAAGGCCAATGGTTAAAGTGAAGTTAACAACTTGAGTTAACTCGCAAAAAATGCGCGATAGACGTGAAAGTTAAGACGGACATTTATATGAGGATATTTCGAAAGAACCAGTTTTCTCCCGGTGCCTAACTGAATTCTCGAAAGTCCCGATTACAAGACCCCAAAGGTTACAGGTACGTTCGAGAAACGGATCCCTTGGGTCAGTTGAATGGATCTCTTGTTCTCTGACCGTATCAGCGCTAATGTGTGAATACATTCCTATATTTGTAACCGCAGTTTGTGCTTTATTACAATCGATTAGCAAGTGTAATTTTCCCAGGCTCTCTCTCATACCCGTGCTCTCTCGCAGGGTAGGAGAGAATCCTGGGAACGAGGTTGGCCCATAAAGCTGCAGTTGTTTACATTCAAAATAGACAATAACATTATAAAACTATCAATCAACAGAACCAAATGGACTGGATTGTTTGTTGACTAGCTAGGGCCCGCGCTTTTATTCTTTAGGAGCTCGCACCAGTGGTTTAAAAGGTAGATAGTGCTATCCGCCGGATAAATCATAATCCACTGGATAGCCCAATTGGTTTCACTAATACTCGTCCACTGGAATAGTGATTTATCCGGTGGATAGCGATACCCCACGTTTGAACAACTGTGACCAGATTTTGATTTGAATATTTAGCTCAGGGCCCGAAAAGTAACTGGGACTTTTAAGAAAATGGCCCGGTTGCATAAAGATTTTTCCGCTTAATTTACGTTCTTCTCATTCTTCTGAAGAATCTTCCCTTGCTCATTAATTTTTGTGTTTGTTATTTTTCGTTTATCCGTCCTTTTCCGAGTTACCCGTTTATAATACAAGAAACTTCCTTGAAACGAAGGAATTCGAAATGCTGCAGAAAATTCATTTGCAATGACTTAATCTGTAAAAGGTTTGAACCCAGGAGTCATTTCAAAAGGTTGAGTTTGATCGTCCGGGTGAACGTAGTCCTGAATAGGACTGTTGTTGTTGACGGTGACTGACGGTTCGACAACCTGTGCGGTAGTCATCTTCAGAGTCAATCTGAAGTCAGCGGTAGTCATCTTCAGAGTTAATTTTAAGTCTCTTTATCAGCCGAGAACTCCAATTCTTGTTATTCCATTTTTAAGTTTTGCTCATCTGCAGGGCCGACTGCCAACAGAAAGAAAAATTAAAGTTTTAAATGATCTTGATGATTTCACTTGGTCACTAAAGTAACACTTTCCTTCCGATTCCTCCATTTAATAATAAATGTTATGTAGCCGCATGTTTTAGCCGCACCTGACAGTAGTTGCCTTCGTTGTCAATAAGCTTCAATATGGCGGAAAATAAATCAGTTACGTTGGAAAAGAGCTATTTATATCAAAATGAGCATTACAGAGTGGTGGTACTAGTTTTTTCTTTTCCAAACTTCACCTTGAATTAAAAAAGATTTTGTGGCTGCATTATAATTAGTTTACTGTATAATTTTCGCCCTGTAAAAACGGGCCTATTCATCCTTTCCAAAACGAAGGGTTAATAAGGTTTCAGCCAAAATCCTCAACTGTAAAAATCCCTTTTTATCTTAAATTATTTTTATTGGACAAAAAAATCTATATTCCGCTTAATCATAATTTAGTGAGCTTTCAAATGATTTTGCGAAAAGAAAGCTAACTTTGCATAAAACAGTAAAGTCCTTTGTCTCCAGGAAACGCTTTTCCTCGCGTTATGAATGTTTAACTATGCCAACACTGCCGCTGAATTTTAATTCCATGTCCACGTTTGCCCTTTTTAGCTGGGCATCGCTCTACGTGGAAGATATTCAAATTCATTCATTATAGACTACCAGTAAAGCTTCATTTCATTTAGCTTACGTATCGCCAGCGTGCAAAGTGTCGCTCGCTAAAAGTTTTTTTCAATACACAGGATCCTACCGAAATGTCTTCCTTTTTCCTTCGCGGTTTTGCATTTTTCCTTGTTTGCGCTTTTGTTCAAGCCGGAGAACAAGACAGAGATCATTTATCCGTGGGAATTATGATCAAACCAGAGAACTGTCCGAGGGAAACGAAAGATGGAGACCTGTTAACAGTGAGGTTCAATAATACTCTTATTGATCAAACGCCAGTTCTACCAACGAGGTGAGTTATTAGAAGTTAGAATATTCCGTCATGCTACTGAGCAAATTAGGAAAATAAGTTTAGCTTAGAGTTTTATTTACCTTCATGAGCCATTCAATTTTCTTTCTAAAATGTTATTTTTAGTTATTCATGAAATAAGCTTACTTTCCTTTTTACAGTCCGTTCAACCTTAAAATTTGCATTTGTTCCTGCAAAAATTTAGCAAACTAAGCAATTGATCTGTGTTCTACAAAAGCGTTGTGTTGTGCAGCAAATTAGTAATTGCGCATGCATTTAAAACATTTTAATACACCACCACGAAAAATACCTTAAAAACAACTGCACACTGTCTTGAGGGTCAGTTAAGTGCTATAGCAGAATGATGAAGAATTCCCAGGTTCGAGGTACCATAGTATACCCAAAATCAGTAAGAGAAGTCCTGTAAGTCTGAAAATCGAAAACTATTCCTTTTGATTCTCTCTTGGTGCAATTGAGAAAACTTGAAAAATAGATCCATAATTACAAAGTAAAGCGAATAACTTGAACTCAAGACTGGCACTTTTAGAGATGTCGTTCGTCGAGAAATCCGATTTTATTCTTGTTGGCTTAACTTGTCTTGAGACATCTTTCGGATCATAGTTACAACGTACCATAGTATTCTTAGCAGAAAGTATCTACTGAATGGTTGAGTTTCCTTCGCTAATTTAAATGACTGCAATTCGCTTCGAAAACCATGCACTTTGACGCTAAATGTTTCCGTTTTGGTATGATTATGGAGAAAATACGCAATATTGTTGAGCAAGGCTAACAAAGTGTAAAACTTCAGGGACGGAGTTCATGATAGTTCCTAGCTCCCGCAATTCTTTAGTTCTCGCGACTTACCTCGTCAGTGTCATTAGGGACTGTAAGCAACGTGAAAGCTGACGTCAAGGACATCAAAATTGCAACCGGAAGTTGATATTGTCTCTCTTCAATGCTCCAACTCGACAAATTTGTACAGCGGGAGTCAAAACAAAGGCATTCAGATTCGCTGGGTGAGACTGAAGCTTTCCATTTATATGCGAGACATCGAACTTCCGGTTGCTATTCATGACGTCCGGGACGTCAGCGCTTGTCTCGCTTCAGCTCACTATTATAGACTGCGAGCAGTCCCTTTTAAGTCAGTCGAGGCAAGGTTCGGTAGGACTGGAGAGAGCGAAATTACCCAAAGGAGAACTGGAGAGAGAGAGGCCCCGCCCCAGTTTCCACTCGGCTGGCCTTTTTTTTTTTCGTTCACATCGCTCGATTTCCTCGCTCGCGCAACCACCCTGAGGGACTGCTCGCAGTCTAATGTGATTAAAGCGTTCTAAATCTACATCTTCATCCATGATTACGTTTCCTAAATCCTTTTTGTTCTCAGCGAATTTGAGTTCGTTCTTGGTGAAGGACAAGTAATCGCCGGTTGGGACCTGGGTCTGCGCGACATGTGCGTCGGAGAGCTCCGTGAACTCGTTGTTCCGCATCAGTACGGATATGGGGAATTCCCCGTGGGAGATAAAATTCCCCCTAGAGCACTTCTTGTGTTCTATGTGGAGCTGCTTAGAATAGGCGATCCGAGTGAGGACATGGCTAAACCCAACATGTTTAAAGAAATTGATGTCAACGGAGATGGCATGATTTCACACTCAGAGGTAGGATGAAAAATACCGTCGACTGACGCTTAACCCTTTAAACCCTAAGATCAAAATTTGAATTCTCATTTGTTGTCCCAATTCATTTCCTACAGAGGTAGTGGGGAGAAGTTGAAAAAATATCAAGCAAATGCATCTTGTGTGATCATGTCCGCAATTCTCATGACCACTCTATTTTACGAAGCATTAATAGTACAAGGAGAAGTTTGATGCTGATCACTCTTGGGGCTTAAATCAATTTCATTACAATACAATCTACATACATACATGCATTTTTTAAATTGTGTTTTGAAGTAAAAGTACAATTATCGTTTAGTGTCGAGTCAGTAGTCTCTTGTCATTACTGTTGTCATTTATTACTAGTAATACCGTTAGTTTATCAGTAGGTCTCTATTCATTGTTGTCAGTTTTAGTTTCTTTAGTTCTCTTGTTACTTTTAGTTGTATTTAGTTGTTTTTATTTCCTCTCATCACGACCCGCCTAGATTAGCTTAGCTACCCGCGGGCATGTTATAATTGTACAATCTAGAGGGGAGCTTATATCTGGGGGACGAGGAGGGGGGAGGCTTTAGCTTAAAATCGGATGTATTTTTTGCTTTGAAATAGATGGTAAGACTGGCATATAACTGGGGTGAGACTAATAAGTGGGAGGGTGGTATAAACTGCAGTTTACGTTTACTTAGTAAAGTTCGTGTCGTTAACTTCGTGTCGTAGTCTCTTATCTTTTTCGACCCTTTTAGCTTCACTACCTTTCCCGCGAATTGATCTGACTAAAAGTCAGTTGAGTGGTTGAGTATTAACAGCACTGATAAGACTATTATTATGGAGAATCTGATAGGTTCACCGTTGATCTCACATACAGAGTTTATGGCCCCGGTCAAAGGCTGGAAAATATTATTCCTTCCCAATATCTCTCGCTAATTATACCTAGAACGAAATGAAATTTTCCCCCAATTTAAATCGTGATGAGTTCTTGTGCCTTAACGCATAATTATGGTCACGTAACATGTCACGTGAGTAACTGAAGCAATATTTATACTTTTAAAATGTTGCATGTTGATAAGGTCCGTCTGTGTCCCAAATCTCGATTCGGTACCATCCTCTTCGCTAAATTTAGACGATAAATAATTTTTCCTTGGTAATCCTTTTACATCCAGGCCTTAAATTACTTGAGATTGAATTGTTCCCAGGTAATGCAGTTGTGGATAAAACTGCAAATAAAACTCACAAGAAAGGTTTTGCGCTTGCCCTTGGCCCCGCTTTTAAAATGAGAGGAATGGATTAATGTTACTGTTTTATATCACAGGTTGCAGGTTACCTCAGACGAGAGGGACTTTCAAATGGTGAAGGGGATGAAAGCCATGACAACCTCATGCAGGAAATCTTCCATGAAGAAGACAAAAATAAAGATGGCTACATTTCACACGACGAATTCCAGGGATTAAAACATGGAGAGTTATAAAACAGTTTAACCACATTATTTTAATTTATAGGTACCTGTAATTTACATCAATAGAAAGAAAAACAAATTTGAATTAAACAGTAGGAATCATGTTTGTTTCATTTTCCTTAGGGCGCTTGAATTTTAAGGT